TAGTATTCTGCAGACATTTAGATTGCACACTCATTTTTTTTTATTGGCATTTAAAAAGTATTTTTTCACTTATGTATGGCACAACTCTGAGTATTAATGGTGCAACTATGGCTGCTCACACAGTGCTGAAACACTTTGTGACAACAAAAAGAACAACTGGGTGGAAATTGCTTTGACTTTCTCACACAGGTTAACAGCTGGTTGATGCAGCACTTAATGTTCTCGAGTAACTTTGAAGAAAACTCTGTACTATTAAAATCTACTTAACTGCATCTTGTTATCTAAACTTTGCTGTTTATTAACCTCTCCAGAGTTTTTTGCACTACACTTAAAGTTTGACAGTTTCTGCTACTTTTTCCCCTCCGATGCAGCAGCTTTCTCTTTCCGATTTGAATTGTTTTAACTTCAAAGTTGGGACTAAGAAATAAAACCACATACATTTCCATGCTTTGTCCATACTTTTTCAAGTTTCATTATCACAAAAACTGAACCTCTCACCATATACAGAAAAAAAATATATATATAGCACGTGCACTGAAGGTATACTACACTTTTCTAGTCATACCAATCACTCAAAACACTTTGTCCTACAGCCACATTTACACTGTCACACTCACAAACGTGCACACATTTATTGACATGTGGCAGGAGGAAGCCCACAACTTTTGGATTACAAGATGATTACTCGTTGTATTGAGCCACACCCACCCCCGTACCCAAGCACAGTTGAATTTGGAACTGAAAGTGGAACTTTTGCACCATACAAATCTGATTAGAAAAAAGTTCACTATTCTTACCTTAAGCATACACACAATGTAGCTTTATTTAGAAAAAACAAAAAGACTAATGGTAGGACTCAATTAAAATCTTTCATCAAATTAATTGCAGGGTTTGAAATTAATTGCAAATAATCATGTTGTAATTGAAAATCATACACTGTCACATCATTTCCAATTCATAAACAATTTTTACTGCTAAATTATTCGATAAATGGAAGTATGAGCTCAGCAAAACATATATTTATTATTTTTAATCTGTTTTTGAGGTTGTTCAACAATCAGACTGGGGTCAAGGGCTATTATACCTAATCAATGTTAAAGTGTTTCAGGAAACCCTGATCATTCATGCAGCTTATTTGAAAAAAATAAATAAATAAATACTTCTTTAGAAATGGACGCTGACATTAGCATTGGGGATGTTTGTGCTTGCTGTCTTGAATTGAGATGGTATTTTATGCTTGAATAGCTTTGATGATAGACCAACTCCTTTCTGCACAAAACGAGTCTTTTTCAGTGTCCGTCCCATCAGATAATTTTTTGAAGCAAAAATTAATCCCCAGTGGGCCATGAAAATTGACTTTGTCAACCACCACTGTTGCTTGCAGATCCCGCTTGTGCATCAGATTTATGTGCGCACTAGAAACACAATACTTGGCTTGGGAGTATTGTATAGAAAGAAGAAAACATTTTGTATTTTTAAATGCACAGAAATTTGTAACGTGTCAAAATATATGCAATTAAAGTGTCGGCCATAAAAAAAAGACCTTTAATTATTGTTCACCACAGCTAATCTTACAAGATAATCTCACAACCCAACTAGTATTTACTTCAGTCTCAATGTTTCATGTCTTAGGTATTAAAAGTTTATTGCATGCAAAACATAAGTCATAAACAGTAACATAGCTTAATCTGATACTTACATGAGGCTTCAGAGCAGGTGAGCAGCAGTGATAGCAGCAGAGTGGTCACATGAAGCAACAGTGGCAAGGAGAGACGAGGAGCACCACTAGTGGCCATCTTGGCAGCGACTACAGTAGGGAAGAGGGGGCTGGGAGGGGCAGGATGGGACGAATCGATGACCTGGCCAGGGAGCCGAGGCCCCGACCGAGCAGTGATGGCTGGGGTCTTCACGCAAAACTGCTTGGCACTCTAGAAAGAGAGAGAAACATTTCTTTCAAAACCAAATGTATATGCATTACCAACAAACTTTAAGGGAACACTTTATGAGAATAAACTGTTTTTAATAGTCACCATTGTTAGAAATCCTCCAGAAACAAATTGCTGCACTTTGTTTTATGGTCTCATTTTGAAAAGCCACTAATAAATTCTAACTTAAGGCCATGACAAAATTAGTCAAACATACCCTACCATTAAGTTCAGTAAATAATTCAGGACCTAGTAATTATCTGTGCTTGAATTTACTTTTTAAGTACATTATACCTCTAATATTCAATGACTCTCTGATTATGGTTTTATCACTTCACTGTAATTGCTTTAAAACATGTCAGAACCATTTTATTGTACCTTTAAAAACTGAGTACATTTCTACCAAATGGTTAAAGTTGTTTACTGTACAATATGCATCATTCTGGAACATCTGAAGACTATTAGCTTGAGGAATTTAGAGTTAAAAATACCGTGTTTGTCCTTGCCAAAAATGGCCTGTGACTTTGATAAACACACAGAACATAATGTGCAACACTGTTCACAACCCTTCAATGCTGCTGACAGATAATTGGTAGTTAGGTCAAAAGAGGCCAGTGACACAACCACAAGCAAAAGTGTCACGTCGCACAAGTATCTCCTCATATCTCCTCGTATCTCTTTATCAGCAGGGCGATCACTGTCCTGTCTTTTTTCACCACTTTAATCACCTGATCCTGCCAGCATGTGCTTATCCAATTACACAAGCATCTGATGATATTCCAAGCAAGGTCTTTCTGCTTTGGTCAAAATGCTGTAAATCCCTCAATACAAATGAGAATTGGGGTCAAACCCCACCACAGTCGAGTTCTCTCATTGGTATGGCTGACACAGCACAGAGCCACCCATCAGTTATACAAACCCTTTCATTATAAATGAATACATCGAGTTCGGGGACATATCTGTTATAAGTCACAGATACTGTGAAATGTACTGTATGGGGAAAACAAAAAAGGCATAAAATATTATTGAATAGTTCATTTATTGCAGTATCTCAATTCACTAAGTGAAACAAATTATTTAGATGAACTACACACAGCATATTTACACATTTAAAATGGCACATTTAAAATAATAATATTATATTAGACAAACAAAAAACAATGCTAACGTGTGGAGTTATTGAAAAGGATGTTTAGTTTTTTTTTTTGTTTGTTTTTTTTTCAAAAGTTTTTGAAAAAAATCTGAAAAAATAAAAAAGTCTCATGAGAATGCATATTTTAATTTACTGAATCTCACAGTACAGCATCAGATTTTTACATTGTAAAACAATATACTGATTATTTCTCAGAGGTGTCAAGTTTCTAACAGCACCTTTAGATTATCGCAGCCTTGTTTTTGATGGTGTTCTTCAAAGTGGCAGGAAACCACACCCAATTACAGTGCAACCAAATACCCTAGAAAGCAAGCATGAAAGTGTCCTGTCCTCCTTCAAAACTTCTTACCCACTCTGTCTTTACACGGCACAAAAACACAGCAGACACGCGCAACTACAGGCACACTGAAGATAAAACCCACCGACACATACTGCGAAATCAATCCACGGCAAAAACTCTATTCACCTCTGAGCACCCTCTTTTCACATATGCAATTTAAACGGAGCAATTTGAGAACTCATGACATGGGTGCACTTACGAAACCACAAATCCAGGTGGGGGGGGAGGGGAGGGAAGAGAAAAACAACAATAGATCTTTTAAGGCAAGATCATGACAACAAGGAGTGGGTGTTATTCAGAAGCTCTGCTCATCTTTCAATACAATGCTACACACACGACCAACATGTGTGAGCGCTTTTGTGTGCACTGCTTTTCTTTTTCTTGGCCTGGGGAGCAGGTGATGTCATTGGAGGATAACACTGAAACTTTCATAAAGAGAATGCAGGAGTATCAAATTGTCTAAGGGAATGATGCCCCTATTGTTCTGCCTGTAAACACTGCTGTAGGTAGAGGGAATTGTGCATGCCTGTAGGGAATTACATCTTTGCTCACAAGATGCCAAGGTTATGATTTATAGCTTCCCCCTGAGGGCATGGCCATCCTCACCTGTGGTTGCTATATAAACTGTGTAACACAATTATAAGAACTATTGTTGTTTAGCAGCCTCACCGTACATAACCTAAAGCCATGTGTGGGCTGTAGTTTAAACTTTCTTGGTGCATACAATGCTTCAAGACGCCTTCTTTTTATGAAATGTAAACAGAAGCCAGAGTTTGGAGACAGTTTGGAAACTATCAATGCCTAGACAAATATTATGCGATTTTCCATTACAAAAGCCGTCAAAAGCAAAGTGAAACTTCAATTTTATTTAGTCAATGCTGAGGATGACTAATAATTTTCAGGATTAAAAGGAAAACATGGTTATATTTTGTATTAATATTTACATATATGTTTTATCATACACAGACATTTTTTTATTATCTATAGTAGGGCTGCATAATATGCTGAATAAGTAATATCAGTATGTGCAACATTCAAATGGCAAAGACGTGTTTGGAATGCAATAATTGTTGACCAATACATTCCATGAATGATGAACTTGCGTTTTTCATGTTACTATAATCCTTGGACAGTTAAGACAATCTCACAGCAGGATGCTCACACCAAACCAAACAGGTCAAAGCTCAGAATGATGGAAGCACATATGAAAAAAAAAAGCAGAGAAGAAAGTAGGCAGATATCACATTGACGCCACAACATACAACATTATCATTATTGCAAGATTTGCTAATGTCTTGCAGCCCTAATGAATACGTATTTCATAAGGCTCGAGGATGTGGCTAAAAAGTGTATCATGATATGAGTTTCATGTCGGTCAACATCAATATTTTTTTTTTTACTTGTTTTCTGTTTTAATTATCTGACATACTGCCAAACTGGTGATGTGACTTCCTGTTTTATTTGCAGTTTTCTCTCCAGTTCTACTCATTTTCTCTTTTTACTCAATTCAGTT